ATTGAGCAACTCCCATAGGCAGAGACAATGAGTATCTTGGAGTTTATATGCCGACTGCCCTCAAGTTATCTATTATCAGCTACATAATGATTCATGTCCGATTTAATCAATGATCTTGTTACTACCATCGAGTATCTTCTTTTCGTTACGCACAGACATAGCTGCAAGGAAAGTTGGCAAGTTCACAGCATTACGTGAAAATCGGAGGAAACTTGTAACAGCTGTCATTACCTAAACTTTCACATTAATCACAAGTTAGTGTTTAGCCACAGAAAGTGACTAGATGAGTTATGAGCTGTACGAGTTTCAGCCCAACCGTATTTGTCAAACGGTGTGTTGTTCTTCAGACAATTGGCTGCGTCAACAGTCGTTGATAAACATACTTTTGTACTCGATTCAGCTAAAGTTTGTCAGTTGGCTCCCGCGGCTTTGAGAGTCATTCGTAAAGACGAACTCATCAGCCGAGCCCACTGGCAGAAGTATGTGAGGTATGCAGTAGAACGTTCTACGTCCATATCTCAATTTTTTGCAAACTGAGTAATTTCTTCGATCGTTGGTGTTGATACTGAAAACTTTAAAATGCGTAAAAGCGGTTTACTTATACACAGAGCGAACGAACAAGTTGGTCAGTCAGGTGAATGACCAGTGCCGACTTTTCTGCTGGTGTCCCACGAGCCTTCTTCAGACTGTTCCAGGTTGACTGCTGAATTTGGTTGTGTGATCCGCCGTTGTTGTGGCATCAGGAACCAAAGGTGTACTTTGGGCCCACGCTGCTGAATAAATAGTTTTTGGTCATGGGCTTGATAATAATTGTCCAATCCGCGCTGAATTCATATCCTTTGCCACCAGGTTGAAATCTTCACAGGATTGACCACACCTACTGAGGTGGTGGTTCAACGTTTTCATTTACTGACCAATGATCAGCTCTCAAAAGAATTGTCAAACCAAATATATTTGCATTTACTGAACGATGCTCCTCAGCTTATAACTCCTCAGGTGAAAAAAACCGAAAGGCAGCATGAAAACACTTTGCTGCTGTGCACAGCAGTATGAATAAATATCCATGAATTATAAGTTCTGTTACGGTTCACCGATCTTCTATATCTCGTATGAGATAAAGGTGATAGATTTATAATGGCAACAACCCTTGAGCTCATGTTCCTTAGTTTGACTGCACAACTAAGTTTCACGTGTTACAC